TCCCCTCCCCTCCCCTCCCCTCCCCTCCCCTCCCCTCCCCTCCCCTCCCCTCCCCTCCCCTCCCCTCCCCTCCTCCTCCCTCCTCCTCCTCCTCCTCCTCTCCTCCTCCTCTCCCCCTCTCCTCTCCTCTCCTCTCCTCTCCTCTCCTCTCCTCTCTCTCCCTCCATCCATCCACCTCGCTGCCTCTCCCGTCCTCGCTTCCACGCAAGTCCATACGAAATCAAGTCCGCCTCACCGTATCACCAAATAAATATAAAAGACAGTTATACAATCATAAGCATTATTCTCCCAAAAATACCTGCTGCCCCTTACCCTCTGAGGCACCCCCCTACCACCACCCATACTCACCTACCACCCCTATGAAATAGAGTCATCACTCTGCCAGGTACCACCCCCCTACCCCACCAGGTACCCCACTTCATGAAGTTTTAATGGGTCGGTGCAGGGGTCGGTGGGCAGGTCGGATGAGGGTATACTGAGCGGGGATGAGGGTATAAACTGAGCGGGGATGAGGGTCAATGGGATTTTTGCACCAGTCGCATTATGCCGCACTAGGAGAGAGGAAGGAGATGAGGAGGAGGAAGGAGAGGAGGGAGGAGAGGAGCAGAGGGATGGAAAGAAAGGAGGTGAGCAGAAGGAAGCGGCTGATAGAGGGACAGAAGCGAGATGTATGATGCGATCCAGGCGATCATAGACACAGACATGGGATGAGAGAGGAGGAGTTGTGAGGACAGGCATGGTACGTTTCCTTGTGGAGCTCATGGCGCTGGTTGCCATGATGGTACCGATCAGCCTTGAGAGGTGCTGTAAGGCAGAAACATCTCATCATGATCACATACATGCTGAGACACGACTTCCTTCCTTGTTCATCTCATCCTCAACAAAGTGCATGCACAACAGGGAAGAAATCACGAGACGGGATCTGAGGTACGAGTAAGACTTGCTGCGTTGTCATCATGGAATTGACCATCTATCAGGTTTCATGGTGAAGGGAATGCAGCGGAAGTAAAATCTTCACGTCCTCTTGGAGGGTACCATGTGCTGGGATACGATCTAAGACGACCAGTGTTGGGTCTACGAGGAGGGGGTTGGGAGGCAGACATGATGTGGGAGCAAAGACAAGGAGGGGTTTGTAGAGGGCCTCTGGAGACGATATGCTCTCAGGCTGATCCGCTCTCAAATGGAGACAGGATCATTACTCACGCTGAGGAGGAGGAGGAGGAGGAGGAGGACGTCTGTGCTCTTTGCGGTCGATCCATCTCATCGGTGGCGTATGAGGCCGGAGACGAGAGGACGAAGATCGCAACGGCGATCGCAGAAGCATACTCTGACATGATGGTGAATCCTGCCAACATGAACGAGGAGGAGCAAGAGGAGCTGTTGGCTCTCAATGAGATGCTGGAGTGGGAGGACGACATCGAGGAGGCGATGAAGGCGGAGGAGAAGGAGAAGCTGATTTGCTTTCAGTGCAAGCAGCTGAAACAGTGCAACCAGTCAAGGCTGGGTGGGGAAGCTGTGCAGACCGGCAGGAACACCGGGGGATCTCCGGAGGGGACGTACACCGGAGAATTCTTTCGTGCCAAGGACAAGTCTATGTGCAGGTGGTCTCGCTCGATTGCTGCTGGTCGATGCCTGCGGGCTAACGATCCTGTCAGGACAAATGGATGTAAGAGGAGAGCCACATGCGGGAATCCCCGCACGAACAAGGTTCGCAGCAGAGGAGGAGGAGGAGGAGGAGGAGGAGGAGGAGGAGGAAAGTGGGAAAAGGAGGAGGAAGCAAGGAGGAGGGGAGGAGGAGGGGAGAGGAGAAGGAGGGAGAGAGAAGGCGAAGGAGGCAGTACTGTGTGCTCAGATCGTCTCTTAGT